TTTTTTTTTTTAATAGGGGAAGGATAAACCAAAAAGACTTGAAGTCATATTTAAAGATCTTCCCTGGCACTATGGTAAAAGAAAACCCACTGGTAAAGCAATCCTAACTTCACTTCTAACAAGCGTTTATTAAGCATTCAATGTATGCATACTACGATAATTACTGCAGGAGTAAAACAGTGCTTACACTGGTATGGCTCCTATCATCAAGCTTACAGTCTTAATGGGAAGACAATGCCAGGTATTATAAACATAGATACACAATGCATACTCATATACATGAAATAAAGTTATTAACACATTGCATTTTCATGGCATTTTACAATTTATAAAGCTCTTTAATCCGTAATATTTCACTTGATCCTCCTGGTTTCCTTACAAGACCATATATTTTCCTTGAACTCTGGAGGTTCAAGTCTCAACTTGACTAAAGGTACAAAGCTAACAGGAGACAGAGTATGGTCAAAACTGGAACCCAGGGTTTCACTGTGTAAAGCTGTTTTGTTTTTTTTTTTTTGGTATGTGTGTGTGTAAAGCTGTTTTTAACTCTTCCTGAAAGAGTAATAATAGCTAGTCTAACAGAGAGAAAAGCTAAGGGACATGTGAACTTAAAAGGTAACAGGACCTCTCTGTCACTCGTTTTAACAAATGAGTGACTTATGAGGCAGGCCCAGACACTCCAGATGTAGCTTATGGAGCCAACTCTCAAGACAGATTGTAGTGGCAGGTTACAGGACAGTGACAGGAGAATTTGGCAGTTAGGTTTTGGCATTGGCTCTAGCTATATTCTCCAATCCTGTTTACTAGAGAGCTCTGGGTTTGGGCAATTCCGCACATATCTGCTTTTAATAAATATGATAAAGTGTGACCCCATCTGGCTCCCTGAATCTGTGTTCAACTGATTAACACCCAGTGGGAGGAGGGTCATATAAGAGCATAACCCAACACTGAATACATAAAACATAGCAGCACACTCACAAACACAAAAAAAATTTGCTCCTTTTATAATTACAACTATTAAAAATACATGGGTAAAGTAGAATTCATTAAACATAAATTAATAAAATAAGATCAACAAGTCTTCCTTAAGATTACATTACCTTGTAGCAATGTGTCCATTTCGGATTAACCAGTTGACCAATTCCTTTCCCACAATACAGTTGGGATGCGTTCTTAACCAGTAGCGGTGATCCTGAAACTCCATTCCACTACTGTGATGGCAGATTTTTTTCCATAGGTCCTTTAACTGAACACTGTCCTGAAATCACATTATGAACAAGAATTACTCCTATAAAGGATACCATTATTTCTCAGATACTTTCCTGTGATTTTAGAATCATAAAAGGAAATTCAATTCAGATTTGTCATAGCTAAACAATTTTATAGAAATGGTATGTGCACAGAGAATAGTGAAACACTTCTTTTTCTCTTGAAAATCAACCACCCCAAATAATTCCTTTTTTAGGTCACTGGAGATATAGTACCAAGTCTGCTATTATCTAAGTGCAAAGTAGCATACACTTCTTGGAGATGGGGTAATGAGAGGGAAATAATGGTCAATCATACTTGTCTAAAGTAACTATTTCTAGCAGTCTCACTGTACCTGACTTTCTGCATTTTCACTTGTACACAACTAGCACAGGAATTTTCCTAAAGAAAGACCTTCAGGGCTCTCCCTGGTGGCACAGCAAGTAAACGCAGCACTAAGAAGCAAAAGCCACTTCACCACAAGTTCAATCCTTGGCCCCGGAGGTGACCCAAATGGTGTGGCAGACCTCTCCTGACCCTCCCGCTGCTCCTCTCAGCAGTGTACTTCATCGATCTGCCTGTTCTCCTCCCCACTCTGTCTCTGGTGAATCCTCTCATCACCACCTGCACCTCTGGCCTGTACCCCAGTTCTGTATACATAAATAAATAAATCTTTTTAAAAAAAAAAAAGAAAAGAAAGAGATTTAGTGATTTACTCTCTGGCCAAACAATTTCCAGTGTTGCTCAGTGTTTCCACGAGGTGTAACTCTCTGCTTACAAAGACTAAATTTACCACCTTCCACAAGGTAGTCCCAAGTAACTCTAGAATCTCATTGCCGTATACTCCAAATTAAACTCTGTCCCAACTTCTCCCAATTTAATAATACTTCAGTCTGTGGAAAATTTCATGCTTATTCACCCCTATATACCTTTCTTCACACCTCAGAATAAGATTTGCTTTCTCTAGTACAAAGTACTACTAAGGACCTGCTCACTGACTGTATTTCTTCCTTTTAAAATGTAAGCTTTAGGACAAAAGTCATTGTTTTCCATTTTATTGAATCACTCTTACAATTGAACATAGTTTTTTTACACACAGATAAATTCGACAAACAGCTAATTATCATCTCATATAAATATATAATATTAAATATTTGAAGAGCATTACACATGTATGAAAACATGCTTCAAAGTTTAAATAGCAAACAGGACCTAATACAAGTTAAGCTCTCTGGTAGGCAGCTATATTCTGATCTTGTCAGGAAAGGGGCCAAGAAAAATTTAATGCAATATATGAGTACTGAATTTGTAAACAATTTTTCAAGTGAACTTAATAAAAACTTATGCTAGTTCCTCTATTTAATTATAAACTAACTGGCTATTTCATTTGCATGTTTCCTTTTTAAAAATTCAGTGAAATAAACACTCCATGTGCTCAAAACAAGCAATGCGATCAAAGACAATAGACTCATACCAGAAGAATTTTGCGTTCATCCTCAGTAGTCTCTGTCCTAACGTATGTTCGGTTAGCTTGGGGGCTGACAGATGTCTCATAGGAAGGAACCATGGGAGAAGCAGATCGATCCAGGGACAGGTTAGTAATGCTGGCTGATCTGAAAATAAAAACAAAAAGTGAAAACAAAGACATAAATTCTTCATCAATACACAGAAGTACAGTATATATTCATTTTTTAAATAATTTATTTACATATATTTCACATCTTTTTTTTTTTTTAACAGTATTTGCTTTCCTTTCTCAGGTATGTAGTCCCCATAGAATTTCCACCACCCATGCACCATCACCTTTTTAAATAAATGCTTACTTGACAACATTAAGGTTTCTTTTAAAGGTAGTGGTGTATCACTGGAAGGAGCTACCATGTCTCTGTGCTGTATTTACAACTTCTACCTTAGTTCTAAAATTATTTGAGAATAAGTTTAAAGGAACATCATTATGGGAAGACCACAGGAATGCAATTACAGATGGTGTTCATATAGAAGTAATTTTCCAAAGGAAGTAAAATACAAAAACCTCTGGCTAAAATGATAAACTTACAAACATAAAAAAATCAGTCTAAATGCAGGGGTAATCTTGCAGATAAGGGGCAGCAAACTATGGCCCACAAGCCAAGTCAATATGAATTGTAGAGTTGAAAATGTATGGTGTGTTAACAGTGAATACTTAGAACCCCAATTAAGTTACATATTAAGCCCCAAAAAGAATTTCTTTCTTCTTGTTAGACCTATTTAAAACAGTATCCCACAATTACTATATTTTGCATTTGTTCAATTAAAAAAAAAATCAGTCAAAAGCAAAAGCATCTAGCATATGTTAAACACTCCATATGTAACTTTCATTATATTGATTAGGGCTATACCCTCGTCTAATCCTTAACAGTAGCCTTTGGAGTACTACTTCCAAATCATTTTACAGATGAATCAAGAATCAGGTTAAGTTATTTGTTTATATAGTTCAACTAATAAATAACAGGACTACCAGTCAAAGCCAAGTATCCAATGAAAAACCATGTTCTCTCCAATATGAAGATATAGGCATTTAAAAAAAACATAATTTCAGGTTTTAAGGTTAGCAAAAAGTCATTCTTAATGAAGAACCACCATGTGGTATCAAATAAATATAGTCTATAAGCAAAATGTTTTAAATAATCAAATACTTATTTCTTGGCATATACTTTTAGTGAAAAGTATACACTGCAACTTATTCAACTAATTAAAATCTATTTTTCAATGTGTGCATTATACATGCACTCTGCTTCCTGGTCCAATTATCTGCATATATTCTGAGAGTGGCAACAAGAATAAATGAAAAATCAATCAATTTTGTCAAATGTTGAGAGAGTTAGCTAGGGTACAAATGCTGACTAAAATCTAATTTAGAAAGATAGCACTCACAGATTAAGTTCTATATTTCCTAAAACCTATCAAGCAAACTCAGTTGCATTAATTCAAAAAAAAAAAAAGATCTTCTGTAAATGAGCAAGCTATCTCTACATCTCATGACAATAGGAGTATGATAGTTTGCTACATCTTTTTAAAAATTATCAATTGACTGGCCCTCCCTGGTGGTGCAGCGGGTTAAAGCACAGCACTAAGAAGCTAAAGCCACTTCTGCATTGAGTTCGACCCCTGCCTGCCCCGGAGGTGACCACATGGCATGGCAGACTTCTCCTGACCCACCCACTGCTTCCCTCAGCAGTGTACTTCGTCGATCTGCCTGTTCTGCTCCCCGCTCTGTCTCTGGTGAATCCTCTCACCTTCCACATCTCTGGCTTGTACCCCAGTTCTGTATGAATACATAAATCTTCAAAAAAAAAAATTATCTCTTGACTCCACATCCTGTGAGTCCTTTCTCTTCCCCACTTCAAAGCAAAACTTCTATCTCTAATCACCTTCCATTCTTTCTTGAATCACAAATAACCCACTGAAATTGTTTATCAAAATTACCAGTATTGTTTGTTATATCCAGTTTCCACTTTTCTTCCTACTTGACATCCCAGCAGGATAACTCCCTGCCTTGAAAATCTTCTCTCGGCTTCTAAGGAAGCATACTCTCCTGTTATCCCTTTCCCCTTGTCACTGGTTTTTCCTTCTCAGTCACCTTTATAAATCCACTTCATCTTCCCAGTCCCAGGCCATTGTCCTCATTTTCTCATTTTTCACACTCATTCTTTTCATGATCTCCATCCAGGCTCATGGCTTTAAATACCAGTCACTTGACCTAATTTTGTATCTCTTGCTTGCACCTCTCCCTGAATTGTAGACTCATATCAGCAACTATGTGATATCTCACTTGAGTGTCTAGAAAGATGTTTCAAATTCAACATTTCTAAAACCCGTTTTGTCCATCTTAGTACGAGTTCCAACATTCTGAGTCACCTTTGATATGCAGTTGGTTAGCAAATCTTGTTAGCTTTAAAATCCAAATATGCCTACAATTAAATCATTTTCCTCATTTACTTCATTTTTCTTCCTGTGACCTAAGCTTATTCTCTTGCCTGGATTATTGCACCAGCTTTTTTTTTTTTTTTTTT